GTGAATGAAAGTCTGTTAGAAAAAATATATATATCATAAAATAAAAATAACAGAACCATTAGTGATGTCCTTTTGACAACCGTAAGCACAGTCTCCGGTCTAATTACATGACTTGGCTTTTAGCTCTATTTTTCATACTTGATAAATAAACCCCATGCTTACCACCTTCAGAGAGCAGTTTAAATGCTATCTTTGCTCCGAAAAAAAAGTATTTTTCACCAGGCAGTGTCTCTGAAAAGAACAGTGGGAACTCAACAGCAATCAGGTGCTTTGGTACTATTTGTATCTCACTGCTGTACACATTTGTTCCGTACACACACGGCGAACTATGATTATCACTCGAGTGTAAAAAAGATTTCTGTGTAATAACCCACTTAACCCTTTAACCGGAAGACCTCAGGGTTAAATATAATTTTCTTGCCCACTGAAAAACTATACTTATGAAAAAATAAAAACAAATTAGATCTAATTAGCTGGCAAGAAATCGTAGTGTCAACATGCCAGCATTAATGATGTACGCATTTTTAAATGTATATATATTTTTTTAAATCTAATTTTCTCTGTGGCAAGAAGAAAGCATTTAAGCGGATTTTAGATATCGCTAAGTAGCAACCCTGAACCATTAGTTAAAATTACTTTATAACTGCTTATTATAATTTTGTAGAATCATATTTACATTTATATCCAGATGAAGTCATGATATAACTGCTCATTTGCATAAAATTCTAAGGGCTCCATTCTAATACCTGGACGACGATGGTTTTAAATAGCATTTAGCTAGTCAAACTGCCATGCAGGATTGTTCAATAAAATATATTAGCATATAGGGTGGTGCAGACTCCTTCATTAAACTTAGCGAGAGATTTGCACTGCTGCGTTGTGCAATTGCATTGGGACCATAGGATCTCACATTAGTAGCATATTTTGGACTAGATTATATGGTGAGAAATCAGTTTGACTATTTCGATTATGATAAACGCGTTTCATTGAACCCAGCCCTTAAACTTACACTTAACAATAAACCCCAGGTAATTATACCTAACTACATGCATTAGTAATATTGAATAAATATTTTTAGTATATCAGCCATATGGTAGTGCAATGCTCTGCTGACCCATGGCACAGTGAAAATATTGTCTGCTTCCATACCAATAACAAAACAGAAACCAGAAGATTTCCTCAAATCAGCCCTCTTCCCACTGGTCCTATTACTTGTTGTCTTACAAATTACAGAAACAGTTTGAATTCCCTTTTACATTCCTTTCTATTAACACAGAAAAGTGTCAGGGAATTCCTAATAATGTCTTTGCTATGTTCCTTGACGATATAACGACAATGATTTGGTTGTTAAAATTAATGCAGAATTTAATTTAAAGGGACACTATAGTCACAAAAACAATTTTAGCTTGATGAAGCAGTTATAGTGTATAGATCATGCCCCTGCAGTCTCACTGCTTAATTTTCTGCCATTTAGCAGTTAAATCACTTTTGCTTCTGTTTCTAGAGACCCTAGCCACACCTTTCCTGGCTGTGTCTGACACAGCTTGCAAGAAAACAAAACGGTTTCATTTTCAATCAGATGTAACTTACTTTAAAAAGAAATATCTCCTGCTCTGTAAATTGAACTTTAATAACATACAGGAGACTACTGCTGGGTCTAGAAAGCTATTAACAGAGCAGAAAATAATAAATTCTAAATTAAACAGAATTTGCAATAAAGGAAGTATAAACATTACTTGACTCTTTACAGGAAGTGTTTAAAAAGGCTGTGTAAGTCACCTGCAGGGAGGTGTTACCAGGGCTGCATAAACAAAGTGATTTATCTCCTAAATGGCAGATAGTTGAGCAGTGAGAACACATAGACATGATCTATACACTAAAACTGCTTAATTAAGCTAAACTTGTTTTGATGACTATGACGTCCTTTAAAAAGCTAATTCTATTTCCTTAATGCACCAGCTTCTCCAATATTCAAGTGCAAAATATACCCTGATATCTTTAACGATAAATGGGAAGGACTGCTCCTTCTATAGTGTTTGCCAGCAGTGAAATCCTTCACCTCTGCCAGTAGTGTGTATGGTTTTGGATGAAGTATATATTTATCAATTAAGTGTCTGATGGCTACCTTAATTATCCATGTTGTGAAAGTATTAAATGCTATATTATTTATGTATACACCATTTAGGTAGTGCCATGAAGGAAAACATATGCTTAAGTAATAGAAGCATGTATCATGCTAAAAGTTTACCGGGACACTTCCCTGACCAAATACAAAAAAAATCAATGTTTAGAAGATATACCCCAATTAAAACATGCACACATTTAATTATGCATTTTTCATTGGGCTATATCTAAAACCAAAAAAAGCTAAAGGGTATTCAGCGCTAAGCAATAACTGGAGCAGTCCAAACGGCAGCTAAATCACCGGAGCCGGGGTCTCTCATCCGGTCCACAAACAGTGTAGTATGTCACTGTCCAAATAAATATAATTAAAAAAAAGAAATACACTCACAATTTCCTGGAGCTAAAATTGTAGCTCCAACTTGAATGTCTGGGCGGAACAATCCCCGCCTATGGATATAGTGTGGTTCTTGGTGGTTGCGGTCACTCAAATGGTGGAAACATATGCAGCTTTGCGGATATGGGCTTAGGATATTATAGAGTAGTGCCCACTTGTAAGTATAGATGATGGTATTTGATGGAGCAGATGTGGACTGCTCTATCCCTCGGGCTTGGGTGGTACAATCCGCCACACAGATACGGTAGTTCAAGCAGAATAGCAGCAAAGGCTGGTCCAATAAAAAAGTACTTTTATTTAAAGGTAATTAATATAAAAATATAAAACAAAAAAAATACACTCAAAGTGAGGTAGATAATAATAATAAATACACGTATTATTATCTATCTCACTTTGAGTGTATTTTTTCTTGTTTTATATTTTTATATTAATTACCTGTAAATAAAAGTACTTTTACCTTTAAGGTAAAATGCACGTGGGAGCTGCTGGATTCATAGGGTCCAACTGGGCTCCATGCCTCTAACTCTTTACCATTGAATGAAGAGATTTGGAGCAGCAGAGATGCAAATAAAATAAATTACCTTGGCTATCCTTGTATGAGAATGTCCAAAGGTGAAAACCTTGGAGAATAGACAATATAAATGCATCATGTATTGTATAATATTACACAGAACAAAAAAAAAAAAAATATATATATATATATATATATATATATATTATATATATATATACATCTACATATACTATAAAATTCTTCTTATAAACATAGCAGAAAAAAATGTCTCACCGATGAACAGGCGTAGTGGCTGGACAATCAGAAAACAAGACAAAGATTAAATAGTATCTATCAAATGCATGTTGCTTTTCAAGGTTCCTCACTGCATGATGCTCTTTGTGAGTTGAAAAGCATGAAGAATATACAGAGTATTATATATAGCAGTAGCCTCTGGAGAAGTTGCAGGTTCCCTTAGACCACAAGCGTTTATTGGCTCTGACACCACAGGCTGTGTAATGTTTCACAAGTTCTCTTACAATAGATTGTCCTTCAGTGTTATGAGAACATGTGGCGTTAATTTGCTTTTTGACACGCAGTGAGCTATTTTAACCTCACCTCTCATTACACTGTATATGCCATAAGGGTTGATCTGCTCTCCGTAATCTAAACCTCTCAGGAATTATGGGTAAATTGTGCCCGGTATTCAATTTAGCCATAGAATAAACCTTACGTTTCTAGAATATGAATTGAAAATCTAGTTTATCACATGGGAGATTTGTGTTACAAATCTTAACTAATGCTAATGTTGATCAATAAAGCTTTATCAATGGTTACTTTTCCAGCCAAATTAAAGATGACTCTAATAACACTAATTGGCTTGATACTTTTTAAAATGACTTGTTTTCAAGCTGTTGGGAAAAGATCCATACAAGCTCACTTAGAAGCAAATGTACATTTGTATCCATAATGAGGTCTATGCCGGCTTTCAATAAATGTGTTTATTCCTATGTATCTAAACCTTGGGGCTATAGAAATGCCCAACAATCCATTAAAAATGGATATAATAAAAAAATTAAATTAAATGTGTTTGCAAGCTGCTTAAGATCTCAGCAGGTGAAAATAGTCAGATTAATTGAGATTTCTGTAAATTCACAGTTTAATTCCAAACCTGATTAAAATCACCCTCTTTGAATTCCCAATATGCATATAAGCAAATATTAATTGGAGGTGTAATTCAAAAATACAGTTCTAAGAACAGCAATGAGAATTGTCTTAAATCAATAGTAAACTAGTTTTTTGGTTTCAGCTGTGGTTGTCAGGGGCAGTGTGAATAAATGACCTCCTAATCACATGTGTTTATTGAAAGTGTTATTTTTAGAGCTGTTGCCGTCATGAGCCATTATATTATTTTATTCTGATTATTATTATATTTTTATTATTTGTGCCAAACATGGGCTTAGTTCAACAGAAAATAAAATATTAAAAAGTATTATTATGGTGAGGTAGCTCAGTTGATAAGTTCTCTGACTACAAAGCCTATTCATACATGAAAGGTCACAGATTGAAATCAACTCAGCCCTTCATCCTTCCAAGGTCGATACAATGAGTACCATCAATTGGGTAGTTATAACATCTATTACTATTCAGCTGCCGATTTGGTTAATTCCGAGAGCGTTTGCCAAAAAGCACTTTGAGTCCCACTGGGAGAAAGGTGCTATATAAATACTAGTTATTATATTATATTACTAAATATATATGAATGAAGTCCAACAGGTTGATCATCTTTATATAATGTTTTTAATATTGTTAGCCAGTTTCTCACAGAACCCTGACTATCACTTGAAGAAATTTACTTTGACGTTCTCTATTCTGATTCTACATTTTTAAGACCAGTGATCCTGTTTCTCCCTTCCTCCCACAGAGATCAAGATCCAATCAATCCTAATGGACAAAATATTCTATAACTAGAACTGATTCTTGACCCAAAAAGAACCGAACTCATCCATCCAAACAAATACCTCCAGAGAAATTCTTCCGACTAACTAAAGATATGGAAAACCAAAAGAAGAATGAGTCATTTCGTATCACTACTATAAGAGTGTGTTTTATTGGATTTAGGATGAATTCTGCTACAAATGTGTTATCAATGCAATTATAGTGGCTTTAGGCATTTGGAAAACTTTTATAAATTATTGACAAGTGGTGTTGGAGGATATATGCCGGCATTGTTACTAGAATGGTTTTGTAGAAAGCCATCTGATCTATCTGGTCTGTGAAAGCATAATATATAATATTCACTAATGCGCTGTGAGTACAATGTATAACATTATCTTAACCACATACAATAAAATAGGCTGTAATATAAAGAGTGAATGCAATTCTTACCAGAAGATCTTTTAAAAACATGTTGCTTTGTAGGTGGGTTTGAGTGGGAAGGCTACTTGAAAGCATTATTTTGCATCTGACATGAAATGAAAAAAACAGGGCCATAGAGATTAGTCTTTGCAGCATCTTGTAAATATCAAACATATTCACTAAATCATTTTTCAAGGAAGCCACGAAGAATAGACAAAGCAACATCGAACAATAAATTGTGGTTCATTTAGACGTTTACAATTACTGTATCAGTGTAGTATTCTTCCGAGTTATTCTATAGCTTGAACAGCTTTGTCTCCCGTCTACGAGAAGGCATGAACTGCAACGTATTAATTTCCAGTAGAGACATTGTTCTCACTTATATACCATCAAACTTTTATTAGTTTAAAAGAAGACTGGCGAAACCTGTTGGGTCTAGGGACTTACAGTTATTCCGAAATACTGTGATCTTGGGGCTCGGAGGTCAGGAATGAAAACAGATTATTATACAGAACAGGAGGTGACTGAAGTACAAGCCCAAACTGCAAAGTAACTACTGCCTTGTTCTAACACAGCCTGTGGGATGAGATGTCCACAAGAGCCAAAGTTCATCACAAAAGGTCATGATAGTCTCAAAGCAGCCAAGAAAAATTACTGCTCCTTTAATGTTATAAAAGACAAAGCAGGTATTCAGCTCATGTCTAACTAAAAAAGAGGATATGTGAAATGTCGGCTGTATTCATTTAATAATCTTTATCAGAGAGAATACCTAAACATTCTTTGCTAATATCCAGCTTGGAAGGAGAGGCAATGATGTCTCTCGCTGGTTCAATTAAAAGGTGTTACAGATTGTAAGATTTATTGCAGCAGATACCTACGGAAAACCCTGCTTCTCATCAGGGGATTGGAATATAATACTAAATCTATTTCACAGTGTATAAATAAAATTGTTACACGTAGGAGTAAACAAAGGCAACAGGGTCAAATAAGCCTCATCTGATATTAATATTGTTATTACAAAACCATTTATTTGGCTGCCGTGAGTATGAATTATATAGACATTTACTCACTTTTTTTTTACTCAATAACACTGCTGTGGACTTTAAGGGTTAAAATACAAGAAGGCTGATTTAAAAAAAAAATCCCTTTACAACACAGTTTTAAGTCATTTTGTTTCCACTACAAAGCCAAAAACAGACCTATTGTGTAAAAGCACCCAGAATGAATCCTAAATCTTCCACTTTATTTACTGGGATAAATGTCTGCAGTTGCGGTTTGTTTGTTTTTTCCGCACAGCCATTTTGTTCTGACATCTTACAACCTGTGGAGTGCATTTGGCGCCTGGCAGATGTACATCCAATTATCAGAGAGCCAGCAATATATCTTTTTGTCAGGTGGGAGCTGTCCTGCACTTGCCGCTGCTAGTGTTGGTGTAGACAACATAAAGCATCCTTCAAAAGCCAGTCGTTCCCCTATTCTTCAAAGCACGAGTTGAATGACAAAGTAACTTTGCAGAGAAATCTTTCAAACAGCTTGATGTTGCATTCAGATTGCAAGCTCTCCTGCCAGGCTTCTCTGTGTTCAGACTGCAAGCAATTAGCACAGTCAACAATGAAAGACTTGCTTACCTATTGATTAAATATGTTTTACTATAGTTATGTGAATACTAGCTGTATATGTTTACTGGATACTTTCGAGATATGTGCATCTTGTTTCAATATTATAAAATTACCCAATCCATGCCCATGAGGGGGTACATTTCCTGCTCTCCATTGCCATTGCTTTACTTCTTTCTGTATGGCTCTCTTCCTCTTTGTCTCTATCTAGTTGTCTGTCTGTCTCTGGCTGTCCTCTTCGTCTGTCTGTTTCTCTCTGTCTCTTCCTCCTTTGCTGTCTCTCTTCCTCCCTCTCGGTCTCTCTTTCTTTCTGTCTCGCTCTTACCTTGCCTGTCTAGTTCTCTCCATTTGTGTTTCTCTCACTCTTTCTTTGACTCTCATTCTCTGGCTGTCTCTGGCTCTTCGTCATTCATATTCATAGGTAGCCCCATGGATAGGTCACCTAGGCAGCCAGCTACAGCCTTGCTCTGGTTGGCGCTTAACCAGAAAAAGTGGTCCCAAGTTTTACCTTGCACCTGGTCCCACAAACCCAAGAGCAAGCCTTTGATACATGACCCTGTAACTTTCTGTAGAACTGATTTCTTTTGTGTTTTTCTTTACTAGCAGGTCAGCAAACTACACTAGCTTCATTGATTGCTGTTCCACACTTGACTAAACTCCAGGCAGTGTTATAGCAGAGACAGATAATCATTGGGAGTTGAATGGATGTGGATTACGCTTCCTACAATGCTCAGTCATTACCGCTATTATGGACTTTAATAGTCTGAAGCAGAGTGACTTGGTTAGTATTAATTTGCTTCTAAAATGCTTAGATATATTATGGA